GCGGGGCGTCGGGGGGGGGCATCCCTCCGGAGCTGCGGCTGCCGACCTGGCAAGGATGCTGAGGGCAGGAAAGGCGAGCTGGTCCCTGGGACTGCCGCGTGTCTTTTCTTTCTGTTTGTTCTTGCACAGCTCCTCTGCCCAGATCCGGTACACCATCCCGGAGGAGCTCACCCGGGGCGCCTTCGTGGGCAATATTGCTAAGGACTTGGGCACGGATGTGGCGAAACTGGCGGCAGCTAATCTGCAGGTACTGTCCGATTCGGATTCCCAGTACTTCTCTGTCAATGTGAACACTGGGGTTATAATGGTCAGCGAGCGCATAGACCGGGAACAGCTCTGCGGGCAGAACCCCCGCTGCTTCCTCCACTTGAAACTTGCCATCGAGAACCCGGTGGAGTTTTACCGCATCGAGGTGGAGATCCTGGATATCAATGACAACCCCCCCGAGTTCCCCGGAGCTGAGGTCTCCTTGCGCATCTACGAGCTGGCATCTTTGGGTGCCCGCTTCCCCATCCAGCCCGCCCAGGACCCCGATGTGGGCACCAACACCTTGCAGACCTACCACCTGAGTGCCAATGAGAACTTCAACCTCAACGTGAAGGCACGGACAGATGGCGGGAAGTTCCCTGAGCTGGTGCTGGAGAGGGCCCTGGACCGGGAGCTCAGAGCTGTCCACCACTTAGTCCTGACTGCTGAGGACGGGGGGTCTCCCCCCCGCTCCAGCAAGCTGCACATCACTCTTCAGGTCCTGGATGCCAACGACAACCACCCGGTCTTTGACAGACCATCTTACGGAGCCCGCTTGGTGGAGAACTCCCCACTGGGCACCCTCGTGGTGAAATTAAATGCCACCGATGTGGATGAAGGGCCCAACGGAGACATCCGCTACTCCCTCAGCAGCCATAATTCGGCTGCCTTACGCCAGATCTTTGCTATTGATGAGCAAACTGGGGAGATCCGCGTCCAGGGCAACCTAGACTTCGAGGAGGCAACGGTATATGAGATAGAAGTGGAAGCTAAGGACATGGGATCACCCACAATGGAGGAACACTGCAGTGTGGTGGTGGAAATCATTGATGTGAATGACAATGCCCCTGAGGTCATTCTCACCTCCTTCTCCAGCTCCTTGAGTGAAGATGCTCCCCCGGGCACAGTGGTGGCCGTCATACACGTCAGAGACAGGGACTCTGGGGAGCAGGGCAAGGTTCAGTGTCATGTGTCCCCAGATCTTCCCTTCCAGCTGCGTAAGGACTTTGAGCACCAATACTCGCTGCTAACCAGCACCTATTTGGACCGGGAGCGCATAGCCTTCTACAATGTCACCATCTCTGCCTCTGACCTGGGGAGTCCCCCACTCTCCCACCACACCATCTTGCCAATTGCCCTGGCAGATGTCAATGACAACCCACCGCAGTTTCAGCAAGCATCCTATGAAGTGCTGGTGGCAGAAAACAACCCAGTGGGCAGTGTGTTGCTTATTGTCTCTGCTGTTGACCCTGACTCGGAGCAGAACGCACGCCTCTCCTACTCCATCCTGCGAGTTGGTGGGACAGATCCAGGTCTGGATCCAAGCCACTACCTCTCCATCCATCCCACGAGTGGACGGGTCTCAGCCAAACTCCCCTTTGACTATGAGCAAACCACCTATTTCCAGTTCCATGTGGAGGTTTCCGATGGTGGCTCTCCGGCCCTGAGGAACAGGACGCTGGTTCATGTTTTCATAGCGGACCAGAATGACAATGCTCCGCAGGTGCATTTCCCCAGGGCTGGGGAGGACTCTGCTGCTCAGTTCCGAATTCCACCCTCCACTTACCCCCCTGCTCTCATCACCAAAGTGGTGGCCATGGATGCTGACTCGGGGCGCAATGCCTGGCTCTCCTACCACCTCGTGGAAGCCACAGACCCAGGGCTCTTCAGTGTGGCCCTGCGCTCTGGGGAGATCCGGATTGTGCGGGCCCTGCAGGAGAATGATGCCTCTGCGCATGAACTGCTGGTGGTGGTCCGGGATGGCGGGGATCCCCCTCTCTCCACAGCTGTCACACTCGTGGTGCTGGTGGAGGAGAAGGGCCCAGAGGCCTTGCAGGGCTCTGAGGCTCAGGCCACAGACAGCGGAGGCTTACCCACAATTACACTTTATCTGATTGTTTCCCTGGTCCTCATCTCCACTGTCTCCCTGGTGGGACTGGCAGCACTGGTCGTGCGGTATCTCCGGCGGGGTTCTGTGCCCCCTGCCCAGGGCTGCTGTGTGGAGAGCGTGGATACGCTTCGTTCCCCCTCCAGCCACATGTTCGGGCACTCGCGTTACCAACCTAAGCAAGGGGACACGGTAATGGGCGTCCAGGTGATGGCCACGGCACCCCCTGCCCCGCGCTACCGCTCCTGCTTTTCGCCAGTCTCTGACATCAGCGAATTCATGTTCGTGAAACCCTCCGTGGGTCTGGCCGGTGCAAACCCGCTGGATCCCAGCTTGTGCAGCGAGGTGAGCTCGGGAGCGTGCCGTCGCTCTCCCCCAGCCTGATTCTAGCCCGATTGCCTAAGGGGCTTGGCACCGGCTGGGATCCGGGAGCCGATCCCTGCCAGGCGGGTTTGGGGATGGAGTCCGCGCCCGT